CATGCACTTTTTCACGAAAATCGGCCCGATTATGATCGGTGACCGATCGATCGGCACACCTCTATTTGTTGGTGTCAATGTTTTGCATGTGCAACAGAATATCCTGCTGTTAACATTTTATAGTCATATAAAATTTAAGAAACTTTGAAATTACATAGCCATTGTTGATCACATCAGAAACATTTGTAAGTTGTTTTTAGTATCCTAAGAATATCAGAAACTTTCAGATGTGAGATTTAAAAAAAACTGTGAAAATGTTCTCATCATTGTGATCTTATGTTTAACTTTGACACATTTACTGATCCTCCTTAATCGGCGTTGTAAAAATATTCTGTCCCTGAGCTGCTCCAGCTTGAATCACTAGAAAGCTACACAGTGTAAAAGGGCATGCAGTGGTTGTCTCTGGGATAGGAACAGGACCTGAGGGAAGTTCTTCAAATCTAATAAAATTAGTTTCAAACATTTGTGCTACGTTTGTGCTGGATTGTGCAGCAAAAATGTTCAGTTGTGCCGCTATCATTTTAAAGATATTAGGAAATGTTTCCAGAGATCATGAAAGGTCAACCAGCCCACCACCTTCTTCAAATCATATGAAATTTGTGTCAAACATCTCGACTATGTTGGTGCTGGTTTGTGCAGCAAAGATTTTCATGTTCTTCTGGGGTTTTCAAAGATCAACCACCCCTTTTGCTCCCCGGTCACATTTGCAAAAATAAATAAATTTGGTGTCAATAAACTCGGCAAAGACTGTCCTAGTTTCTGCAGCAAAAGTTTTTGTTTGTGCCGGTATCATTTTAACCTGACTACCAGGACAAAAAATATTGTCCAATCACCATTTTTTTTTAAATCCCAGTCTTTGTAAGGTAATAAAATGTTTTATGCACTTACTTTGTCTCTTCCCAGAAAATGTGTTATTACTGATGAACGCCATTTTTATGAATTAGAAAAAGGTACGTACAAAAGTCCCAACCCTTCACATGTGGTATCATTGAAAAGCCCTAAATGTCCTCTCCAGATACCAAAAGGAATTAATTCAATAGAATGCAGGGGGTGGGAGATATTCAAGTTTAGAAATGTCCTCTACAGAGGACAAAAATGAACTACTGGTAGTCAGGAGATAATTAAAAAAAGTGTCCAGAGGTCATCAAAGGTCAATGAAAATCTGTTCATGTTGTAACTGTGAATTTCTTTTAAAAATGCTTAGGTGTGACCAACCAGCACAAACTTAGCCAAATTGATTGACACAAAATTTGTTTATTTTATTTATTTGTTTATTTTGGAAATCTAAGCAGAGGCTGGAGATGGTCGACCTCAGATGACCTCTGATGAGCCCTGGAAAAATTATTATCTTTAAAATGATACTGGGAAAAACAAAAACAATTTTTGCTGCACAAACCAGCACAAACTTATTCAAGTTAATTTACACCAATTTTGTTTGAATTCATAAAAGTGGGGGGCAGGGCTGGTTGACCTTTCATGACCTCTGGAAACATTTATTAATATCTTTATAAGGATAGCGGCACAAACAAAAAATAATTCTGCACAAAACCAGCACCAACGTAGCACAAACATTTAAGACCAATTTTTGTTAGATTTGAAGAAGGTGAGTGGGGCAACTTCACTCAAGTAGAAACGGTGACAGTAACTAGAGACTTTTCAGCTTATCACTAATTAAAAATCCCAATGACGTCAGTAAAACTTGATTTCATTTCTTCATAATATGATGTAAACTTGACACAATATTGGTTCTGAAAAGTGCTATGTTAGTATCAGTTGTGATTAACCCACATTTTCATCTTTTTTCTTTCCAATGTCTTGGTGTCCCCATTGCTCTCACTCGCTAAAATCTACATTTAGTTATCGAAAAAAGGCAGCAGAAATCTGTCCATTTGGGCAAATATTTTTACCAAATGGGGTTTGAATTTATAACAACTGAAAAATATTCTCCTGAAAATTTAGTACCTTAGTGATTGTAATGGCAGTTGATATTTAACATATTCAACTTACCTACTGTAGACGAGTTCACTTCAGTTTTTATTTTTGGCAATTGAGAGTTTTGTTGTGTGTGCTATTTAATTAGATAAGGTTTTTCTTCTGTTATCTGTGTTCCATTCGATTGCAGGGAGCTCAACAACATGGGAATCTGGTATCGCATGGGAAACGTTCCTCGTGCTCAAGACTCGACACACACATCAACAACCAACAATGTCCAAAATGCTAATTCCTCCACTGTTCCAGTCTCAGCTGGTCCTATGCCCAAGTATGTCCAGTGAACTCAGGATTTCTCCCAGAAAACATACTACGTAGGGCAGTTAAGGCAGTCCACAGTGCTCCACTGTATTTTTGTTTTAAAAATGTTACTAGTAGACAGGAAATGTGAAAATAAGATTAGGTAATTATGTGTTATTTCAAGACTTTGACAATACTCAAAGCACTAAATATAGAGTCAGTCAGTGGATCTTAAATTAAGGTTTCTTTTAGAAGTGAAATAAATTTAAAGAAATATTACATAAAATTGACCCTGATGAGTCAGCATATTTGTATGTTTAGCTAATGAAACTGGGGGGTTCGGTACCTCAAAAAAGGTTAAGAACCACTGAGCTACGATATCTGGCAAATCCAGCTTAATCTGCTATCCTGGTTTTGTGAAACAGCCCTCATGAAGGCAAACTGCTTTGGTCATTTTTGCAGGCATATTTCCATGACCCTGCCAGCTAGCTTCAGAGGAAAGAACACCACCAGACCAGACTATGAGCACCAGAACTCCAATCTGTATGCTATCTCAGGTCTGTAAGACTTTCTTCTTTGTCTTAAAAAAATGTTATTTAAGTCCAAATGATTTTCCTGGATTAAAATGGTAAGCAGGGAATAGTTTGATTTATTCCTTCATTTTAGATTCTTTGTCTAGACCAGCCCTGGCCAAGGAGTTTAGCTGGGAAGCATTGGCTTCTTTTGGAGGGGCAGACTAAACAAGCTTTTACTTTCATATAAATACATAAACAAATCTGTATATAACCTATAATAACCAGATTTATTAATACAAAATAAACAATAAGGATGTAAATAGTGACATGTATAAAATGTTGAGTAATTATGCTGAAATGTGCATAAGCAATTCTTAAGAGTTCTGCAACATATGAGCTAATGCTCATATGTTGCAGAACTCTTAAGAATCTAATGTTTCCAAGATGTGAAGTCTATTTCTTTAGATTCAAAATCAATCTACTCAAGTAAGAGTAGCATTACCAGTATTAGTCAAGTAAAAGAAAAAAGTACAGTGCAGTAAATCTACGCATATAAAAACTTTTTTCTCAAAATGTTACTCAAGTAAATATAACCAGTATTACGCAGTTTTGAACATGAATAACAACAATATTGGTATACTGTACTTGTTAAACAAGCTTAACATGATATATTGGTATTGGCTAGTTATCATATATCAAACATCATCTGTATCCAGCAGTATTACTCAACTATCAATGGTTAGCTTGGGTGAAAAAAAAACTGTGCAAAGTTCTCTGCCTTTTGCTGGTTTGCTGCCATGATTCTAACGCAGCTGCAGAGCTCTGAACAGCAGCGGCATGGCTCTGTTGCTGTGGCACAGGTGTAAAACTGGCACAAGCATCTTAGCACTCATGTTGAGTTTAAAGGTGGCTCGGAAAAGCACGTTGCAGCATGTTAACAATGGATTAAATTGTTGTAACGGCTGAAAAAAAAGAGTCTGGTACAGAGAGCACAGATATGGGAAATGCGGGAGCCCCTACTGTATCAAATCGAGATGGGAATGATAGAAAGTTGGCCACTCTGATAAAGGAAAAAAACAGCTTCCAGTTCTGGGAGTGGGGCACAGCTGCCTCAATGGGCGGACAATGGCCAATGCCGCCGGGCCTGGCTTAGATATACAGTTGAGGTCAGTATTCAGCTGTCACTGTTAGTTTAATCAGTTTGTATTATTATGAGAGATGTTTGAGGCAGATTGTACCAGTACCAGCCCTGGAGTGTTTGACATATCATAAAACATTCTTTAGTAATTCAGTTTTGAAGAACTAAAGTTGTTCTGTCGTATCATTTCTAGCTTGAGCTTAAAAGGTGCAGGGTTGTAAGTATTCTCTCTCTTTCAGCTATGGATGGAGTGCCTTTTATGATTTCTGAGAAGTTTGCCTGCACCTCTCCTGATGTAAGTAATGGGAGCTGAAAGATCTTGGTGACAAATTGATTTATGGATAGGTTTTGTACATCTTTAGCTGTGAACCTAAACTTGAGCTTTAAAAATGTTGTTCCAAGTTTTAGAACGGAATGTGTACAACAGTGCCTATCTGTGATACTACCACGTCAAAACATGTTAAGAACATTATGATGTGGGGAAAGTGGGAAAAGGATTGTGTGATGCTTCTGACGTCTGTACTAAATGTATTGTTTAATGGATTAAAAAAAGATTTGGGTAGGACAGGAATGAAGTGAAATGTTGGAATAGAGCTTGTGTGTCTAACGAGCCTCCTGTGTCCTGTTCCAGCTGCAACAGGTGGATCTGATGGGCATTACTATTAAGTCTCTTGCTGAGATTGAAAAAGAGGTGAGGAAAGAAACTGTTTCTTAGTTTCAGAGTGAGTAAGTCTTCATTACTTATTCACTTTTCTTTAGTTAAGATGCTGTACTGAAACAATGCTGTGTCCAACACCAAGCTCTCATGCTTGCTATTATTTTATTGTATTTATCTTAATTTTTAGCACATTTTCACATATTTCTTGACAATGATTCACAAGAAGTGTATTTAAAACAGACATCAAATACAAAATAGCAGATCAGCCTCTCTGGGTAGAAACCTGCAGTATATAGTACAGAGACTTTTCACTTCATTTGCTTAGAGGAGTTCTTTAGTACGGAGGCCCTTAGGGGACATAGGAAAAAATATATTCAGTTGAGTGTCATCGCAAAAGTATTGCGTTCCTTCGCAATAAATTAGCAAATACTCCTAGGTCTATTTTATATACAGTAACAGTGATAAATGTCAGTTTAAATGTACATACATATTTAAAGGCCCTGGTGAAAACATTCTTAAGTCTATGGTGCAACAAAACATTGAAAATTGATCCGCATGTTCATGTTTGTGTAAGTTTGAGATGGGGCTCCACATGAAAACGGCCCAACATTAACCATTCAGGCTACCAACATGAAAAAGACACAGAACTATCAGATGACTTCTCTGCCAATACTCAAAATACTCAAAAATAGTTTCTGTCTGTCCTTCTTAAGGAAACTTTTAGTTTGTCTTAAAAGGGATGGAAAGAGATGAAAAGCCCACGACCTGCTTTACTTTTGCATCTTGTACATAGATATGTGGTGCATTATTATCCTCAAGAAAAAGATATATTCAGATATCTCAGAAACGAGATATTGACCTACATGGAAAAAACTTACAAAAGTCTTATATTACAGCAAAAAGACTTTATGTCGAATAAATGGACCAGTACATTATTGCAAGAGAACGCAAACATTTTTCAGGTAAAGCAAAAGAGTAAAAAAAAAAAAAACACCGCTTCTTGGGGACTCCGTATCTTTGAAACGTCTAGAACAGGTGACAGTTTATATTGAATCCAAATACTCATCTTTTGACCTTTATTTATTATATACAGTGCTTTGCGAAAGTATTCGGCCCCCTTGAACTTTTCAACCTTTTGCCACTTTTCAGTCTTCAAACATAAATATCAAAATTTTTTATTATTTTGTGAAGAATCAACAACAAGTTGGACACAATCATGAGGTGGAATGAAATTTATTGGATATTTTAAACTTTTATTATAAAAAAAAAAAAAACTGCAAAGTGGGGCATCCAATATTATTCGGCCACTACAAAGTAGCGCCACCTTTTGCTGTGATTACAGCTGCAAGTCGCTTGGGGGTATGTCAATCAGTTTTGCACATCGAGAGACTGAAATTCTTGCCCATTCTTCCTTGAAAAACAGCTCGAGCTCAGTGAGATTGGATGGAGAGCGCTTGTGAACAACAGTTTTCAGCGCTTTCCACAGATTCTCGATTGGATTCAGGTCTGGACTTTGACTTGGCCATTTTAACACCTGGATAATGGATTAATTATCGTTCCATTGTAGCTTTTGCTTTATGTTTGGGATCATTGTCTTGTTGGAAGATAAATCTCCGTCCCAGTCTCGGGTCTCCAACAGGTTTTGCAGACTCCAAAGGTTTTCTTCCAGAATGGTCCTGTATTTGGCTCCATCCATCTTGCCATCAATTTTAACCATCTTCCCTGTCCCTAAAGAATAATAGCAGGTCCAAAGCATGATGCTGCCACCAACATTTTTGACAGTGGGGATGGTGTGTTCAGGGTGATGAGCTGTGTTGCTTTTACGCCAAACATATCATTTTCCATTGTGGCCAAAAAATTCGATTTTGCTTTCATCTGACCAGAGCACCTTTTTCCACATATTTGGTGTTTCTC